CTATTAATGACTTCTATTCTATTAATGTGGTTCTAAGAAGTAAAGAGTACAACTTAGCCAATAAATGTACAATATTAGCCCCTAAAGTGTGGTGAAGTAGAAGCACTCAAAGTACAGATACCTCGAAACTGTACTTAAAACAAGACATCTGAAGAAACCGACTGATCAAAGTGATTATTGATTAAAACAGCTGCTGTATGATTCGCTATCATAGCTGACCTTTTATCAGGCTCCGCCTTCCCTCAGCCTGCTCCTTCCTCAGGTTTCGGTTTTCTAAATTTCTCAGCGTGACATCTGATAATGGATATCACCAGGAGATTAACTCTAAACACAATGTGTTGTGTTTACGCTGGCCTCCGTGCCTCTTTGACCACAGGTTCTTTCCCGTGAGACCATTAATATTAGTGCCAAACGTTGGCTCAAGAAGGAGCCTTTGCTCTCTGATCCCAAAGGACGGACACCAAAAAGGTTTCAGATCACCGACACATCATCGGTCAAACAGATGTCATGGCGCTGATATTTGGCAAACTGTGCACAGGATGGACAAATGTGTGCCCATAAAGAACACACTAACAGCAGTTTGCCTCAGAAGCAGTGAACGGTCTTACGTTGCCTTTTACCCGCTGCCTTCCGTCTCGTATAAAACACCAATGAAGCACCGTCCGTCCCTTTCCTGTCTTGGATCCTGCTGCCTCACTGCTGATTTGTTAACAACACAAACCCACGGAGCTGATTACGAGGCCGAGGCTACAGCAGCTGAGTAGCAGTAAACTCACATACTCCAGGGGACACACAAACACTTCTCCATAAGGCTGATTATTTGAAAAGCCAGTTGTGTGTGTGACTGGTGATTTCTGCCCATACAAGCCTAACAGACAACTGCTCCATTTGATCTAATGCCAACATTAAAATCCACTGTGTAGAAATGGGGACAAACTTCAACAGCCAGACCTAAAATAAATAAATAAAACATGCCCACCACTTGTTCCAGAAAACCAATAGCGTGTTTTGTTGGAAGTGGGAAATGATGAGGAGTCACCTCCAGCCGTCGGTGAGTGCTACGACATAAAGCCCAGCCAGCAGAGACACGAGCAGTGCCGACAGACAGACAGACAGACAGACAGACAGACATTCAGGCAGACAGCTGCTGATCTGAGTTGTAGTCACACAAACATAAAGCTGCTCTACAGAAAGAAATAATCGGTGTAAACTGAGCCAAACCTTTATGGGCACAGTCTGAAAGTTGTCTAAATAAGACTTTGGTCACAGTGACGATACACTGCACCATGAGATGGTAGTTAATCATCTATACTAAGGTAACTAGGCTTTCAACACATGTGGTTATACTGTAATACGAGTCAGCATTATGATACGAAACTGAACAGTTAAGATGAACCAAACGTGTTCATTCTGATCAGGTTATTTTATCTCTAAATTAATGTTCAATTTATTTACAAGAAAAGGAGTAAACTGTCCAGCGTGCTGTGACAGGAGACCTGATCTATAGTGTCCACCTCCATCTCCTACAGGACCAGAGGTTCTCTAGATCACATCGACTCAGTACAGGTGTTCAACTAAACTCAACCACTGATTAAATTCCTGTGCGTGGAGCAGCTTCACCTCGGATTAATGTTTGTATCACTAAACTCTAACCTGCAACAGACAGCGAATGAGGGGTAGAGGGGATGACGTGGCAGGCAGACAGTCAGACAGCAGCCGGAAAACATGGGAAAAGAAAACTTACTAACTGTTTTTGTCCCCTGTGGGAGGGTGCAGCCCGACATGGACTTGTTTGAGTTCTGACGCTTAGTAGGGTCAAGAGTGACCCTAGGAGCAGAGAGAAGGAAGAGAAGAATGAAAAAAGGAAAAATAACAGTCAGACAGACATTGAATGAATGAGGGACGTTGACACAGAGATGACGACAGGAAGAAGCACAAGTGGAAGAGGCAGAGAAGAACAAATCAGACTATGAGTACTGTAGTTCAGGAGAGAAGACTGGCAGGTGACTGGCAAGGAAAAGCAAAAGTTGTTAAAGAGACAAACAGAGAAAGCAACAACAAGCACCTGAGAAACAGTGTCCGTCTGACCTGCAGACCTGGGTCAAATAGGTTCTCTCTGTTTTAGAGTTCCACTTAACAGCATGTGCAGGTCACACAGCTGGAGTTGAACCATGTTCTTGATTTAACATACATCCTTCTTGCATGCACAGGTTCAGAAAGGTGACCAAAGGCTGAAGGAAACAGGAGTCAGCACTTTTAAGTCAGTTTCAGTTTTTTGTCTCTCTCATTCAAACACATTTGTTTTTCTCCCTCTAACTAAGATGTAAATGTCTTTACAATTAGAAAGGACATCCCTAAATCCAAACCTCCAAACTTAATCTGTTTTCTAAACAATAGCACGGTTGTCTGGCCTGTTTGTAGCTGCTGCTCAGGGACACAGTTTGTGATTCGGTCTTACTTTGATGAGGCTTATTTTCAGGTGTTAACTATAAAGTATATTTTCTACAGGATGGGGCAGGTGGAGTTTCAGTTGCAGGAGGCCATGGGCATAATCCCTACAGCTGCAGGCAGGTGTGGGACTGGGAAAAAGACCTCTAAGTTTAGGCAAGGTAAAAACAAACTAACTGTACGAATATTTTACAACACTATTAGACCCAGGTCTGAGATTAAGAAGTAGAGATTCTGAGGCCTGTAAAACTTAAGAAGAAAGGCTGGTAGGTTAGTACTTGTTAAGGCAGAGGTGGTGACAAGCAGCGAGGTTAGCTAAATGACCTGGGAGAGCTGCGACCTTTCACACTTTCAGGACTACACACAGTCTGCCTTCACTTCACATTTGGATGAGAAGCAATAATAATCACAAACAATCGACTACAAGCCTTAAAAACTTGCAAATGTCTGAATGAGCCATGAACCTTAAAGTTTCTTTGTAATCTGTTCTGTCTTGATTTCTACCAGTTATCATTCTTCCTCTTCCTGTTTCAGCTTCAGCCCCCCCCCCCCTCAAAAAAAAAACAAATCACTTTTATGCTAAACCAGCAACTGAAGCCTTAAAGAAACCCGGCTTCTCCCCTTACCTCCGGGTCAGCTTGGAGGTCAGCTTGCTTAGCAGGTTGGTCGTAGCCCGAGTCCTGGCGTGGGGTAGTGGGCTGGCATCGTGGGACAGTGTGGGGGAAGCTGGGGCAGCATGGGAGGGAGGACGACGGTCTCTAATCTGCCCTCCGTGGAAAGTACTCCTTACCGTGGACCCCCTGGACAAGCGGGAGGAGGGTGTGGAGGATGAGGAGGAGGCCCCAGACGCACCGGCGATGCTGTGGGTTGAGGGGGAAGCAGGGGGAAGGCGGTGGGACAAGGTACTGGAGGGATGGGAAGAGGAGGAGGAAAACAAAGAGTGGAACATGCAATCAAGATTTCATTTAGTGAATGCAAAAAGCTTACACAAATCACAGGCCGTACATTGGAGTGCGTCCTGCGATGCTGGGTTCACGAGGACGAGACGATATTTTAACACTATTTTGAAGAAATCTTCAATGTCGTTTATTCGCCGTTGAAAGTCACAAAACGCCAAACAGTGCAGGTGCGTTTTAAATGTAACTAATCATCTTGTAACGAAGGTCACTTCAGCTCTACAGGGTCAATTATCACATGCAGTAAAACAACGTGCAGTAGTGTAAAAGGTTCGGCCACAGACTCAGCCCACCGGCTTCTCTCCTGTAGGATTTCACACGAGTCTCTTCAGACCTTAGGACTGTGCGTCCCATCAGCCACTCTGGCATCACACTGACCAGCCCTCCAAGGCAGGTAGAGGGTTATGCTGGCACAGTGCAGGTCCTCTCTTCATCCTGCTGCTGCCCTCCCTTTGTCCCAGGCCCATCTCTTCCTCTCCCTCTGCTTTTTTCATTCATTCTATAAATCCTCCCTCCTTTTTCCAGACACCCTTTTCTCTCCATTCCTACATTCCCTGCACTTCCTGTTAAATTACAAAATGGAGCTGCAGCCTCTCCATTCCTACATTCCCTGCACTTCCTGCTAAACTACAAAATGGAGCTGCAGCCTCACGGTGACGTCTAAATGTAACAGAGCTGGGTATGTCTGTGCTCAGAGAGTCAAAAAACAGAGTGAAATCCAAAACGTTTCTTACAAACCAGTCGGCCAGCATTCCACCCAGAGCACTGGTTTCCATTGGGTATTTTCTGAAGCATCACCACTGGTAAACGTGAGCATGTCTGTGCACTTTACATGATTTTCTGACAAACAAAAGTCCATACTTGCTCTATTTGCAGCCCACAACATGTACTCCACCTAAAATGACCAGTAGATCTGCTCATTCATGTTTTTCTTTGGAGTCCTAGACTATATTATCCATTCCATGTATCCTCTATCTGATACAATTTGCTGCACTGAAGTGCACATACATGCACACCCATGAGGTCTTGGTAGAGAACATTTCCAAGCGACCTTTTGCTGCATCGCCATGGCAACACTAAGAAAAACTGTCCTCTGGCCACATGGCTTGTGATGTTTGACTGCAAAAAAAATGGAACATCTACAGAATGTGCATGAACACAAAAACATACACACCTGTCTTTGACATGGGCGGCTAATCAATATTTGTTGCAGCAGACTTACTAGCATGGTCTGAGAATACAAAGTTCACCTTGGCTCTCTTCAGCTCGGGGTTTTCGGGGAAAAAAAAAAAAAAAAAAAGCCCAAAATGCCCCATGTATCAAATGTGATGCAAAAAAATAAATAAATAAAAATTATCTAAATAATATGGCACATTTATTCCTATATGCCTGGACTGTCTGTCTATGCATAAATGGCAAATAAAAATCTTGAATCTTCTTTTGGATTTTATTAAAAAACATCTCAGTTCCTAAATATTAGAATGTTCTGGCTATTTTTTGATGTGTCAGGATTTACAGGGTTAAACCAAGCCATTATAATAAACTTTCACACTGTTCTCACTATTAATATGAATATATTTCTGCACTGGGATAAAAAAGATGCATTCAAGTTCAAACTGTGTAATTGATCTGATCATGTTCAATCTGGTTGCTGTTGTTTTTACACTGCAATGGCATTCAATAAACACAAACAGTTCAATAACAGCTTGTGCATGACGCTTGTTTTTGTCATTCTTACTGAGACCATCTTTTAACCTACCGCTCCTACAGGGAGCTGACCCCTAAATGTTGATTAGTCAGCTCATTCGCTGGGAAACCTGTCGGACGACTGAGACTCTTCTAGCTTTTTTCTCAGCCAGTCTGCATTACAACAGAAGGCAGCCACAGCCTGCGTTAGTTTGTTGTCTTCTCCTCATTTTGGTTTGCCAAGCAGCTCAGTGCTTCTCCCTCTGGTCAGGGGCACTATGTAGCAACCAAAGGTGAGATTTGTACTTTATTAGAAGTGTTTTCAAATGAAAACACAGGAGAAAACAGGCACCAAAGTATCTGTAACCACAGCAAAACGTTTCCGCTGCTCCAAGACGCCACAAAAAGTCGACTACAGTTTGCAGCTGCACATGGGCACAACGATCTGACTCTCTGGAGAAGTGTCCTCTGGTCTGATGGAACAAAACCTGAACTGTTTGGCCATAATGACCATCGGTATGTCTGGAGGAAAAAGGCGGAGGCTCGCAAGTTGAAGAACACCACCCCAACTGTGAGCCAGGGGGACGTGGCGTCATGCTGTCAGGGGCTTTGTCAGTGGCCCTTACTGGGGCACCTCACTAAATAGATGGCATCATGAGGAAGGAAGATGATGAGGATATGTTGAAGCAACATCTCGAGACATCAGCCTGGAAGTTGTAGCTTGGTCCCAGTGACTCCAGGGACACCTCCAACACTGTGGCAACCGCTTCAGGACAACAAAGTCCAGGTACTGGAGTGGCCCCCACAAAGCCCTGACCTCAATCTCATAGAAACTTTGTGGGCAGAACTGAAAAACCGTGTGTGACCAGGGAGGCCTCCAAACCTGACCCAGTTCCACCAGTTCCGTCGAGAGGAACAGGCTGAAACTCCAACAATTTAGTGTAAGAAGCTCGCAGAAGGCTTCCTGAAACGTTTGACCCAAGCTAATCAATTTAAAAACAGCGCTACCCAATACTGACCGAGGATATGTCAACGTCTGCCCCACTGGGAATGTGATGACAGAAATAAAAGCTGAAATGAATCTTTCTCTACTACTATTCTGACACTTCACACTAACTGACCTGAGACAGGGAATGTTTATGGGACTAAATGTCAGAAGCTGTGAGAAACTGAGTTTAAAAATATTTGGCTAACGGGTTAGGGTTAAAAGACTAAAAAAAAAAACTATTCTTTGAACAGTCGCACTGAACAGCTGACTGACGTTGACAAACAAAACCCTTAGTCAGGTACAGCCCTAGAAAATACAGTGAAATTCAGAACTGGAACAAAGAAACAGACTCAGATTTGCTCTGTACTGGGTGAACTGAGGTGATGATACGTCTGCCCGACTTTATTACACAGCACAGCGAGTCCTGATCATCTGCTTTGGGGAGACTGACAGCACAGGTACAGAACGGCGACAAAGACGGTCCTTTCACTTGTCATGATCCTGAGTCTTATTGCTCCTAATATATATGTTTATACACGTCCATGACCAGTGGATGTGGCTGAACGATGGCACTGACCATAGCAGCCTTGTGAGGGGATCATTCTGACTGTGATATGGTAACAGATGCACTAACAGACTCCTCTTACCTGCCGTCCTTGCCGTTTTGCAGCAGCGAGTGTCTATCGGTGTTGGACCGGTCTGTACACACGTACGTGTTTCTTCGAGCCATGGCACTAGCAGGGATGTTATTCTGGAGAAAGAATCACAACACAAAGTCACACAAGCCTGCTGATAACGACAGTAAATGATGTCCTGAACACCTGCACATCATGTGTTTGAGCATAATGTGGTGGATTAGTGACAGCATTTAAAAACAAACGTTTCCCTGTCATGACTCTGCCTGTATCTGCTGTGCAGAACATCCATCCATCCATTTTCCAGGCGCCCAGGAGGCATCCAAAACAGATGCCCGAGCGGTCGAATGCCTTCTCCAGATCCATGAAACACATGTGGACTGGTTGGGCAAACTCCCAGAACATTACAGGGTTAATCTGACATTAATCTACTGTCCTCACCTGTTCACACTCAACTCTGCGTTTCTCAGGCTTATCTTACTGAACAACCATTATCTCCACATTCCACCTGTTGGATCTATAGTTTATTATTCATCTAGACCAGGGGTGCCCAATACATCGATCGCAATCGACCGGTAGATAGCAAAGGTAGTGTTGGTACATCGCGTGCCATCCAAAAATAAATTAGATGTATCCGTAAAACACGTGCCAAATGTTAGGTCGATCATTTTGACTTGGTCATTTGAAAAGTAGCTCGCAAGGCAAAAAAGTGTGGGCACCCCTGGTCTTGAGCTATTTACAGTCATTTCCTCCTCAGCTCTCTTCTGTTCTGCGGAAGACGTTGAGGTTTGCCGTCTCCAGACTGTAACCTGACTGGGGTTTGTGACAGACTGATCAGGGTTAGGGTTGATTAGGGATGATTCACACAGTATCTTTTTGGCCTTACTGTGGCTGAGCTGACTTCCTTGCGTCGGTCAGGTATCTCGGCCTTATTAGGGTTGTGAGCAGAGCTAACCATGGGACTAGAGGGGGTCGGGAGGCTACGGGACCCAACAGTACTGGTGCTTGGCTTGCGAACCGACAGTCGCTCCTCCTTAAGCCCCACCCCCTCGCCTACACCACTGGGACTTCGCTTGGGGTGCGTTGACCCTGGAACCGATGGACCACCTGAAAGACAGGAGAGAAGTTCTCAGTGAGGTCAAATTAATCTAACAAACTCCACTTTGTCACTTCTGCCAGCATTTACAGAAGTCTGAGTGTCGTCTCTGGCGGTGGTAGGTCGAGGCACTGCGCTGTGGCTTCTGGCCAGAGGAAGATGACGGTGCTCCGGAGGAGGAAGAGGAAGTGGAGTGTTTGCTGGTTCCGTTAGTGATGGCGCTGGGCCGGACTCGAGCCAGACTCAGACTGCTTCCAGACCGAGACTCACTGCCCTCCGTCTGACACACAGACAACCAAACACAAAGGACTATTAATTGGAGACAGGCACTATTACGTTGTTTAAAGCTTCTTTCAGGACAACGTAGTCACAACTGTAACCAGGTCCAGGTAACTTCACACACACAGACCAGAGTGAATCAGAACGGTACCTTGAATTTAACAGGTTTTGTTATGACTGTGACGTTACAGCTGAATCTCACACACCTTTAACTGTAGCTTCATCTAGTGATTTTTCACCTAATTGTGTAAGGTGAAAATATAAACAAAGTATAAACAAACAAACACACACACACACTCACCTCATTCTTGCATCCCAGCAGCAGGTATGTGGCGGTGACCTCGTTGTACTTGTGACTGACCAGAGCCTCTCTGACCTCCTCTCTGGTGAAGCCCATTCCAACCATCACATCTGGAACAGATTATGAAAGCTTCAGCGTCAGTGCACTGCTTGGTGTGACCCTCAGTGCTTGGTCCATATGCAGGATCTGAACTTAACACCTAGCACAACCAGTCTGGAGCACCGGACTCACTTTAAGTACTTAGTAAAACAAGACATCCCATAGGGCTTTGAGTGTCAGAACCCCAGCGAAAGGAACCCACGACTTTATGGCCACAACCGAGGCTTTGAGCACAACCCATTCAGAGTCCGAGTCCCCAGCCTGTGAGAGCTGAAGACTTAGCCAGCTGCTCCCAGTTCATGCTCAGAGAATATTTGTTTTTCTCTGCTGTAGCCTGTCACATGAATGGTTTTGAAAAGTGTGTTACCAATGCGGATGGTATCGCTGAAGTCCTCCTCAGGCTCTGTGTGGGGCTTCAGCTCGTCACCCTCATAGCCAATATTAATCCATTTATCTTTCATTATTTGCTGGTTAGGAGAAAAAAACAAAAAACAGAGGTGTTGAAAAAATACAACAAATGACTAAAATCTGAGCTACACTTCATCTGTCTATCAAACAGGCTGCAGTGTTCAGCCCGATCCCTCGGTGCCGCTACGGTCACTTAGAATACGTTACCTCCAGAGAGCAGCGCCTGGCGGGGTTGAGGACCAGGAAGTGGCGCAGGATTCCCTCGCAGTCTGTGGACATGTAGAAGGGCACGCGATACTTTCCCCTCAAAACGCGCTCCCGCAGTTCCTGCACACATCACACATTCGTACAACAAGGACATCAAGTTATTAAAAGTTCGGAACTATTTAAATACAAGTTTGTCGTCTTTTGGTGACATCATATGCGATACACAGTACCTTACTGTGATGCACAATTGTGTGGTTATAAAGGTGTGTCAGTTTTGACATGATGCTAACATGACCGTAAAGTTCAACCTGATTAGCAACAATTTTTTAAAATCTTGCTCAATAGTTTAGTGTGTAAGTCCTTGTAATCTACACTGATGATCGTGATACTGGTTGTAACCATGTCCTGAGAGTTTTCTTGTCGCAGGAAAAACTATAGAAGTGCAATGACAGGTGACTGCATGTGAAATTATTTTATATAAACAGAGTCTATGTCTCTGTGGCACATTGTTTTTCTGTGGTGTACCCAAAACAAGTGATAGCACAATGAAGGAAAACAAATAGAGAAAAGGCTGCTGTACATTTCTTGCACCCATTTTCGTTTGTACTCAATGCAAAACCCCGAGCACTGTCGTCACAGGGGCTTTCATTCATCTCCGGTGACGTTCCTGACTAGAACAACACAGCCTTCACATGACCCACCTTTAGGTTCTGTCCGTCAAAGGGCAAGGACCCACTGACCAGTGTGTACAAGATGACGCCCAGACTCCAGATGTCCACCTCTGGACCATCGTACTTCTTCCCCTGGAAGAGTTCTGGGGCAGCATAAGGCGGGGAGCCACAGAACGTGTCCAGTTTACTGCCCGCAGTGAACTCATTACTGAAGCCAAAGTCAGCTATTTTGATGTTAGAGTCTGCGTCTAGTAGCAGGTTCTCCGCCTGAGGGCAAAATACTAACAGTGAAACGTACAGAAAAACTATAATCATGCACCGTTACGGGACAGCTGAGACTGCTTATCCATATATTTGCAACTTAAAGCTGCAGTCTATAATTTCCTTCAGTGCATACAGGAAGTGATGTGTTTTACTCATGTGTAATAGATAAAACACTAAAGCTGGTGTGTATTAAGCTTTTTTTAAATGGCTGAAAACAGCCCTGTTTGACCATTTCAGGTACATGAACAGACTATGCATGGGCCATTTGTACTGTCTCTATTAAAAACTGTGTAGTTACCTTCAAGTCTCTGTGAACAATGTTCTTCTGATGACAGTAGTGCACTGCTGAGACAATCTGAGGAAGGAGAGAGGGGAAAAGGCATCAGACACTAGTGAAGATAACTGCACTTAATGTAAATGGCAGCTAAACTACGAATTACACAGCTTATTTAAAAATATCTACTTGTACACCAATCAGGGTAATAATATCGACCTAAAATGACCAAAATCACCTTTGGGAAACATTTTATTGTTGTTTGGATTTCTACTCCACTAGCATGGAGGGGATGGGGATTATGACCTATACTGCAAACTGCCACCAGGGGGAGATCGACTTGTGGTGGCTTTGTCACATGGTCCATTTTTATATCCAGTCTCTGGGACAAACCAACAGATGCTCATGTTACTGACCTGTCTGAACTTGGCTCTAGCTTCTTTCTCCTTCATTCTGCCGTGAGACACGAGGTAGTCGAACACTTCACCTGGAAGAGCAAAGTATGAAGACATGCTGTAATTCATGCAGGTGGGAAGTTGTTTAATAGTCACATGCTCCTTTCTGCATACACCAAAGCACAGCACTGCATCTTTGTGTGGCACATCCTGTCTCCCTCTAGCTCCTACACCAACACTTGCAGTAGATTAATATTACTTTTCACACTTTAGATGTTTATCCATAATGTGGTATCACCAGGGTGGTGTCTGATCTGTTCCAAATTTATTCTGCAACATGACAATAAGCCCCAACATGGGGGCTCAATCTATTTTCAGCAACAAGAAGTCCTGCAACAGACGGTGTGGTCCCAACAGGGCCCTGATCTCTGCTTCACAGAGTCAGTCTGAGATTACATGAAGAGACAGGAGGCCATGATGCAGCCTCAATCCACAGGAGGACTGTGGCAAGTTTTCCAAAATGCTGGATCAACTTACCTGCCAGGTAACTGGGGTCAGCTGGTGCTGCTTTAAAGGCAAATGCTGGTGACAGCAAACACTGCTCTGGTTTAGTTTTTTGATTTAATGCACTTTGTATGATGTTATTTGATAAATAAAAATAGCTTGTGACAATATTTGAAAGCATCCTAACTTCATTTTTAGTGTCCACATCTTGCAAATTCAAAATGTTTCATCCCTTAGTATGTGCTCGTGTGTGTACACCCGACATGTAGCCCTAGACATCCTGAACAGTAAAACAGGCCGACGTCAGGCTGCTGCCTCCTTATTAGGCACTGAACGTAACACAGAGAGCAGCAGTGAGAGATTAAGGGATAATGAGGTAAGAACAAGGGAAAACAGAGAAGCTGCAGAAATAGAAAGTGCACGGGAGACAGTCGAACAACGTTCAAGAGCAAGACGAATAGAAGTGCACAAAGAAAGGCAGCAGAGAAAACAATAGAGGAGTGAAGCAGCTTTGACTGCCTTTGTCACAGACAGATCTAAAATGTCATTAATGAAAACGGAGACAAATGTACTGAACTCAACTGTTACACTCTAAATAAATGAGTCTGTCAGTTGAGCTCCATAGTTCAAAGTAGGGTCAAAGTAATGAATCTAGGTGGCACCACTCAATACTTGGAAACGATGGCGGTGGTAACGGGGATGCCACTCACCTCCACTGGCATACTCCATAATCAGGTAAAGAGTCTTCTCTGTCTCAATCACCTCAAACAACCGCACTGCAACACACAGAAGAGAGATGCTGGAAACACATGTACGCTCACCACGTACACAGGGTCATGCTCTGCAGTGTGACTCACCGATGTTGGGATGGTTGAGCATTTTCATGATGCGTACCTCTCGATACAGCTGAAAAGGGAACAGTCAATCAGACTCAAGATCACACACAGGTCTATACAGAATAATCCACAGAATTCCAAGAATATGAAATTTAATGGTGAGAAAACAATGGAAACGTAAATTGACGTTTCGCTTGAACTGAAAAGTTGCTTGTGTTACTATTTTAAGATGTGTAACCAACGTTAGTGACAATTACTGCAGCATTACCCTGACATCAGTACATCCATGATCTACACCACTTATTCCTAAACAAGGTCGTGGGGGGCTGGAGCCAATCACACACACACACACACACACACACCTTTCCATGGGCCACTCAAGCGAGCGCCCCAGTGGTGCTGGCCCTCCTGCGTGGCTGTGCCCTACCTCTGTCCCCCAGTCCGCTGCCTCATCCTGCCACTCTGATGCTGCCCCGCCTTTCTCTGTCTAATCAATGTACAGTTTTCGTCTGCGAGCTCAATTTTAAAAGACTGCTAAAGGATAGATGCATCATAATGGGACATTATGGGAAATTATAGTTTCACCACAGAAATCAATGAAAAGTTGAGAAATTATAAAAAAAATATTATATATATATATATGTAAAACAAAATGGAACAGTAATATGGTCAAACCTTCACAAACAATCTGCAAATCTCTAAGTTTGACTTTCCTGCCTGAGTATAGTCTGAGTTCCTTCTTATGTCAACTCTACTTAAATTAACCTTCATAAAACAAACAACTGTGCATCACCTTGATGTTAACAAAGCAAAATAAGCTTCCAAACCATAATCACCATAAATGTGTGAAATTTAACAAGTAAAAATAAACAATTTGTTTGTTTGGTGGTGTTTTCTTTGCGGTTTATGTCTGCTCCTAATTTGTAATTTCATTTAAGTAATAATATTTCAAATACAAAGGTGATTTAGTAATTTATTTTGCATTCCCAGACTTTTGATTTTGACCATATGAAGAGTTTATACACAATGTTGATCATGATGATTAATTTTAACAAGGTATTTTCTGAATTGGCAAAGGAAGGGAACACACCAAAGCAGCAGAGAAGAAGAGCAGAGAAATACAAACTGTCTACTTTTTAACAGCAAACAAGACTTATTCAAACCGGTTTAGGTGAAAATGGAGTTTGTTCACTCTGAGTTCAGAGAAAGTCATGTTTTCACCCAACCTGCTTTATAGAATATCTCCTCTTTGAGATTAATATCAGGTTTTAAAATGGGTTTGAATGTTACTGAGCTAGCCTGTTAGCTTAGCACATTTAGCTGAGATGGTGATTCTGAATGTAAACATGCAGCATTCCGGAACAAAGCAGACTAGAATGACATCATCACTGCCATTGGGCCTTTGATCTCTGCAGTAACTGCAGCTCACCAGACAGTTCAACTTCAGACCTTCTACAAATAACACACCATTGTGAGGAGAGTAGGTCACACAACTAATACAGACGATAACTAACAACAGACAATAACTAATAACTAATAAATCTGTTTATAGAGATACTAGAGTGTTCAAGAACAAACTGATTCTACCAGCTAAAAAATGAAGAGAGTTCAACTAACAAGACCCTTCCTACGTACATTTCCCACAAACCAGGACAACATGAACTGCGAAGCACTTCATGAAGCGCACAACACTGAAAACAGGTCTCACGCTGACATGGTCCACCTGGTCGACACCCCAAAGGCGGACAAAGATGCCCTTCAGCGTGAGCTAGAGACTGTAAAGCTCGCTCATGCAAACAGGATGGAGCAAGATTTAAAGCTGATCAACACCTTGATGACTGAGAAAAACGCCCTTCAGTATGAGCTAGAGGAAGAAAAACATGCTCATGAAGACAGGGTGGAGCAAGATTTAAAGCTGATCAACACCTTGAAGACTTGTATCAAAATAATGCAGGAAGAAGCTGATGGTAAGACCACGTCCTATAACAGAGATCTGGTGGACCTGAAACAACAGCTGAATGTCATGATCTCTGAAAAGAGCGCTCATAAACACAAGGCAGAGCAACATCTAAAGCTGGCTGACACCCTGAGGACCGAGACAGACACCCTGAGGGCAGAGAAAGACACCCTGAGGGCAGAGAAAGACACCCTGAGGGCAGAGAAAGACACCCTTGAGCGTGAGCTAGAGACTGTAAAGCTCAGGATGGAGCAAGATACAAAGCTGATCGTCACCTTGAGGACCGAGACAGACACCCTTCGTAATGAGATGGCACAAGAGATCACTAGAATACAGGAAGAAGCTGATCATAAGGCCATGCTCTATCAGACAGAGCTGGAGGAGCTGAGAAATCAGCTCAATCAGCTCAATGCTGAGAAACTCTCCAGCTGTGAACAGCCTGAGAACCCTGAGGAACAGCATGGCTCACCATGTGAGGACCAGGAGCCCCTCCCTAGTGCCCTCCATGATCAAGAAGCCACAGAGAACGCTGTGGTCTCTGGAAAGGTCGTCACAAACACGACAAAACAGAAATCATTCTGGAAAAGATTTCGCCACTTTCTGGGGCTGAGGAAACCACAGAAGTGGAAGAAATAAACCAAACCTCTTTCACAGCAGACATTTAAATTGGAATAATCTGACGTCAAACGGCTGCTGTGAAAACTTTCTAAACAAATGAATCAATTAGGCCAGACATTTCACTAAATTACATGACAGGGCTGTCAGACATGTAGCAACAGTCATGTAATTTAGTAAAGAAAAATTAATCAGGGCGGCACAGTGGCGCAGTGGTTAGCGCCGTCGCCTCACAGCAAGAAGGTTCCGTGTTCGTTTCTGTGTGGAGTTTGCATGTTCTCCCTGTGCCTGCGTGGGTTCTCTCCGGGTGCTCCGGCTTCCTCCCACAGTCCAAAGACATGCAGCTTAGGTTGACTGGCGACTCTAAATTGCCCGTAGGAGTGAGTGTGGTTGTCTGTCTACACCGCTGTTCAGAATCAGAATCAGTTTTATTGGCCAGGTTTGTTGGACACAAGCGGCTCTCAATAAGTTTGTACATATCCTTATTTAAGGCAACAGCAAAGGGTAAATAAGCAATATAGGGCGGCACAGTGGCGCAGTGGTTAGCGCCGTCGCCTCACAGCAAGAAGGTTCCGTGTTCGTTTCTGTGTGGAGTTTGCATGTTCTCCCTGTGCCTGCGTGGGTTCTCTCCGGGTGCTCCGGCTTCCTCCCACAGTCCAAAGACAAGAGCCTCTGTGCCGTCTGTCAGTTCAGCTACTGGTAGGATTTTTTCGGTATCAGCTACTTCTTCTATTTGACAGTGACACACACACACACACACACATACACATACAGGGATTCAGGAATAGCGGTATAGATAATGGATGGATGGAACAATGAATCAATTAGGCCAGATGTTTTACTAAATTACAGTACAGGGCTGTCAGACACGTAGCGACTCACAGCCCTGTACTGTACCCCATGTAGTATGCAACCGACCCCGAGGAAAAAAAGACCCGTTTAGTTCGCTTATCAAGGTCAAAGGTCAAAGTTTATATGACATATGCTTGTGCAGACACCGTGGCCACAAAACCCAGCCAAGCAACTGACTGTAACTAAAAACATTTAAATAAACAACTAAGACACACAAATGGGTACAAATGATGAGTTTTAAAGTTTTATTATAAATTAATTGACAATTTTGACTAAAAAAATATTTAAATCCTTTAAAAAAGTTGAAAAAAGCTTCTCTTGTATAAGATGTTGCTGCTTTTTTATATCACTGCTCTCACAGTCGGGCTGTGGAAAACAGATGAGACAGATGATGAAAATAATTTGTTGTAGGCATAAAGTGATTTCTTACAGATGTAAATCTATAAGACTAACATGATGTGTTGGAGAAGCACAGGAAACATTCTCTGGCTGGTAATATGTTTAAATCATACTCATTCTCTACTGAGTGCTACAGGAAGCTGCAGTGTTTTAAACACACGGGTCCAGAGGGAAGGTGTGTAATTGAATTGAGTTTCCGTAGTGTTTCGGTTAGCCATGCTGCTAACGTAGCCTGCTCCACCTTAGCACCAGTTCAACCACCAGCGTGTCGGCACTGATAAGATAAAAATACTGTTAACATCCTGGGCTCCACTATCTCCCAGGACCTGAAGTGGACGTCCAACATCAGGACCATCACCAAGAAGCCACAGCAGAGGATGTACTTCCTGCTCCAGCTCAGGAAGTTCGCCCTGCCCCAGGAGCTGCTGATACAGTTCTACAGAGGAATCATCGAGTCTGTTCTCTGCACCTCCATCACTGTCTGGTTTGGCTCAGCAACCAAACAGGACAAGTACAGACTTCAGCAGACAGTCAGGACTGTAGAAAAGGTCATTGGTGTGAGCCTGCCCTCCATGGAGGACCTGTACACCTCACGGGTCAAAAGGAGGGTGGAGAGGATCACTGCTGACCCCTCACACCCCAGATACAATCTGTTTGAACTCCTCCCCTCTGGACGGCGTTACAGGTCACTGTGCACTAAGACAACCAGGGACAGGGACAGTTTCTTCCCCCAGGCTGTCGCTCTGATGGACACTTAACCAATGACAGAGTCCATTTCCTCGTGTGTCCAACACACCTGGCCAATAAAGCCGATTCTGATTTAAACTGTGTTTTTATCCGACACACAGCGTGTCATTGTGGTGCGTTAACTGGGGCCCGGAATTGACCATGAATACCAGTGAATGTTCATGCTGACAAGGTAAACAAAAGACTCCACATCCTAATCGTCCCCCACCTACGCAATCGGTCAATGCAGTGCCTTTGCCAGGTAATGTCACCATCTGGTGCAGTTAAGGTTCAACCAGATCCAACTTTTTGGGATTGTGTCATTTTACCGGTGCCGGCCGTGGTGAACGAAATCCCCCAGAGAAAGGAAAGGAGAGGGCTGCATTGTTTCCACCCCTTTGAAACTCAGTCTGAACGCGGCCTAAAAGGAAATTCTGGCTGCGCTGTTGTGCTTTCTTATTGCGCACTTGGTGCCATTGTGTCAGCTACAATCAATTTTTCCTGTAAAATCAACACAGAGCCAACAGAAGAGCATCACTGTCTGGCTTTCTTATGTTCACACACTCTTATATAACCTGCTCCTGGCCCCGGTGGCGGGGGCCCTGCGTCTTTATTGCAATGCTAACCCAGGTATTAACCCTATAAAACCATTTGTATCATATTTGATATGTGACGTTTCTGAGCGGAAAAAAAAAATCACCAAAAATGCCCCATGTATCAAATGTGATACACAAGAAATAGAAATAATCTAAATAATATGGCACCTCTGTTTCTATATGCCTGGACCGTCTGTCTATGCATATATGGCAAATAAAAATCTTGAATCATGAATTTGAATCATGAATTATATTGTGGATTTTGTTAAAAGGTTTAATAAACATCTCAGTTGCAAAAAATTTGAATGTTCTGGCTATTTTTTGAGGCTTTACAGGGTTAATCCATGGTGTGGGGGGTTGTGAGAAGTCATGGAATGCCAAGCACACGGCAGTCGTACACACAGACAAACACAAAGCCTACTGACACATAACTGCTGTATTTTATTTATTTGTGTTTTTTAAAACCGTCAGGTTTAGAGAATTCTTTCAAACTCTTCTGGCCAGAATATTTACAAGTGACATTTTTCAGTGCAAGAAAAGAGAGTAGTGATATGATCTGACAGGGTTTCCTTTTCCAGCATCCTTTGTTTTTGTTCTTCCTTCCTTCTTATAATCTCTTCTGCCCTGTCTTCCCTTCTTTCAGGCAGCATCAATCAACTTCTGAGCATTTACATCCTCACCATCTCTTTCTTCTCACTAGGATTTATTATCAGCTGCTAAGTCGCAGTGCTCACTGCTACAACAATTTACACAGAGGAACTCAAGGACCGACTGGCATTTTTCTCACTGTGAGAGTGGTGCTGCGTGGGTTTGATTCATGTGCCTGGTCTGCCAGTTTGTCCACCTTTGACCTGCTTATCCAGGCCATGTGCCTGTGCTTTTCCTCTCCTGTTCACACACACACACACACACACACACACACACAGAGAAGGAGCAGGAAGAAAACAGTGACGCTGAAAGTGAGGAATGAGGAACCGAAAATGCCCGTCTAGCTGACACTTTTAAACAGCCAGCGCCATCATATCTCTACTGACCAACACGCCACACAGTGTAAAGCACACGTCCACTCGTCAGCTGCAGCCGATCATGAGACCAGAGAAAAAAGGAGCAGAGTGAAAAACAAAAGGGACGAATGAATGTGCAGGCCTCTCTCTCTACGCCCACGTCAGAGTACCTCTCCTCAATAAGCCCCTGAATGAGACAGTCCTGCTCTCAGTCCGTTAGTCTGGCAATTTAGATGAAACATTATACGCCACTGCAGTTGGTATGTAGCAACTATTTACTGCAGATCTTTACTTCTGCTGCACTCAGAGGCTGTAAGTCCTCATGACAACTACGGGCGTGTTGAACTTCAGGAAAGCACAGCTGTTCTTTATGAGCTGTAACACAGGAATTAACAGGTAATGTTAAAGTGGTTGCCTAAACTTGAAGGAAATCTTGTGCATTAAAGGGTTATGGTGTTGTTATAGAGGTTTTTCTGCAAAGCCATGTCATAGCGAGGTGCACCTCCATATAAACCTGTGCCTCAAGGCTTCAGCGACTATGGAGACTAGTCAGTCTGGTCTGCGGGGGTTTATTCTTGGATATGTGTCTGGTAGAGGCTCCCGAAATACTGAAACACCAACACCAAGTAAGATCCAAAAAGTTGTAGGTATCTAGTAATCATGTAAAGCCATTTTGGTTGGAAATATTCTGCTTCACTCGACAACCACAAAGTCTATTACAGAATGCCATAACTGCATGGCAGGATTCTCCTTGGCAGTAATGAGACAGGCCAACCCTTCCCCAGATGAACAAAAGGATGTACACATGATACTCTGGGTATATAACTAATGGATGAAAAGGCCTGGCAGGTTAGTGGTGCTATCGGCAGGGGAAACCCAACGCTGCACCATAAATCAGATTACAATATTCAAGAAAGCTGAACAGTTTTAATAGAGTGTCCGACATCTGTGTGATCGAGGTAATAAAGTGAGAACTTTGACTAGTTTTGCCATGTGGGTTAAGCACTTTATGTTTCATTCTCTGGCCACATAACACCTAAATAAAACAAAGTGTACGTGAAACAACTGACCTTATTAGATTAGATTCAACTTTGTCATTACACATGTACAAGTACAAGGCAACAACATACAGTTTAGCATCTAACCAGAAATACAATAACAGCAGTGCAGAGTGTGAGTGAGTATCTACAGTCTGTACTAGTTTATCAATAGATATGTACAGTTGACACCTCATGTGTCTTCTAAGGAGCAACGTTACTCAAGGATTTCGTTCTTTTTCTTGTTGCTGGGGAACATCTGAATAGACTTTTGACCCGGTGTGTTGCTGGGAGCAGCGCCCTTCTACATTATTACCATAAAAAACTTAATATATGAACACCTCCTACCAATCCCTCCCCTCCCTTCATGTAGGTCTGGGTGGATTAATTAGAGACTTTAGCGTCCGCATTGTAAATGACAATACAGTGCAATGATAAAAACGAGCTGCAGGAACAAAACAAAAGTTAAGAGGAGCTGGATTCTGGACTTGTTCTGCTGCAGTCTGACCCAGATCACAAGAATCCTGACTCAGCTTGATTAAATAAGGAGAGCTAAATATAGTTTTATGGATGTTGGCTAAACAAGGCACAGAAAGGGGAGAGAGAGTCCACAAGTGAAGCATGGCAGGGCAGCGACCTCTTCTTCTGCTGTTCTATCCCTGTTGAAGTTGAGCTTGTGGGAAAACCGCCTGTTCTCGGCCTGTCCACACTCTTTTCCCTTTATTGTCCAATTATTCCCGTTACACACTGGCACAATAAAAACAAAGCACACAGCAGCAGCAATATCACTGTGTACAAACGCCCGTACAGGGACAATGCAGATAATGGCATTACACGTGGATACAAAGGCGGAGCAGAGACCGTGTCAGGCTGTGAGTTTATCCTCCTAGGCCATACTCACGCACAGCGTTTGCTTTGGTTCTGCTCGGTATCTTGTCTTTCTCAGAGTCCCTGCTCCTGTGCCAAAGCCCCATCATGGCCCCATCCCACCTCAACTCAGGGGCCCCTTTTGTTTGCCTCTCTGGAATCCGGCTCCTGGCTGAGGAGGCCTGGGCAAGGGACAAAACCTACTTCATAGACGGTGGCCTAGACCCCGTCCCTCTTGTATACTTGGTGCACATACTCATCTTGGATAGCTGCCCATAAATTCTCTCCAAGTAACACCAGGCTTTTGACTGGGCCCTGCATCGTCTGTAGATTATGCAGCAACACAGCGCAGGAGAAGAACGCACGAGAAAGGCTCCTGCATCTATTAGTAAAGTACTGAAAAGCATTCAGTCGACTGATGGGCTTTCCATTTCTTTCATCATATCATTTCTCATGTCTAACTAACACTTAGCATTACATGTTCTTTTCCAAGATACTCAACACCCAAAGGCAACACGACTAAACTGTTTACAGAAGGTGTCGTTTGTAGTTAGAAAAACTGGCAGGAGTCTTCACTCTACCCACTGTTGTATTTGGTTTTTCCATTTTGTCACTAGGAGTATGAATGAGGATTTAGGCACGTGTGTTTGATTCTAATGAAACCTGTACAAGACATGCCTCCATCAGTCGCATGGTCGATCCACCATAAGCACACCAGGGTACGCATGGTTTACAGGTCAGATGCATCAAACAACTGACTGGAGCAGGCTGGCACTTAGGTGAAGCAGGAAGGTTGCACAGTGGCACTCTGGCGGCGCTGGTGGTCTCAAGAAACTCTGAACTCAGTCCCTTTGTACCTGAAATGGCTTTAGGAGGCATACTGCAGTGGTACGAACAGCTGTGAGGACAGTACAGCTACTACTGCAACATAACACAGGGGGAGGAATACGGAGCTACAGCAAAGACAACGAAATACATGATGAAGAGACAATAACAGGTGAGAGAGAGAAACGGGGCCCAAAGCTACAGATAAGTTCAGAGAATATAGAGGGAGGTGCAAGACGGAGCTTCTGTCCAGAGAATCGGAGCCGACAGAAGCTACTGTGTGCGTCTGTTTCATCCCAACTACATCTTTTGAATATTAATGTTGTTTAAGTTAAAATGCTAACTATGTGCATTTCCATCAGAGACACTGAAACACATAAATCAATCTACCATGAAAGACAAAGCTGTTTAACGTTTGACAAATAAATGCTTTTCAGTGTCGACTAACGCTGCACTTAGGTCATGTTTTCATCCAGACACAAAGAGAGAGAAGCATCAGCCGACGGTCCTGAGGCCACAGCGGTGCCGAGGCACCAGGTATGTCGCCTGCTGACCCAGTAATGTAAAGCCGCTGTTGTTTAATCAGCATAATGCTTTCATAAAAATAACTGAGGAGAAATCTTATGCATACTTTCACTATGTACTCACATTTTATTTGATCTAATGGCGACAAAGGTGAAAAAGCTTGACGTGGGTTAGTAGATTAATTACAATTTACTGACAATTTTGATAGACAAATTATTGTTTGACAATTTTTCTTAAGACCAGTTCAAACAATGACTGTTCTGGCTGCTGGAACACAAGGACGTTCTGCTTCTCTCCTGTTTTATTAAAGGAATATTTTGACAGGATGTGACCGGTAGCTATGTAGCACTAGACCATTACCACAGTGCAGATAACACACGCACACACACACACACACACACACACCAACAGTTCTGTATTAGGTCTTAGCTTAAAGATCTCAGGATTCACGGTGCCTTTAAACAGGCATTTCACTGCTGGAACAGAAATGATGCTCTGACAAAACAGTGGTGAGCGATGGAGACAACCAGCCACCCCCTCGGTCTTACCTCGGTTACAGGGGAGTCCATAGTCTTTAGGTGGTGATAACACTGATAGGATAGTGACTGCGCTGTGAGGCGGACTCTATACTCTAAGCTCCACAGTGGGTTGAGTGACACGATGTCGGATGAACAGAAACTCTAAAAGTATTTTAGTGTCTAAAGTCACACAGAAACAGCACATTCAAGCCACCATTTGATTCTAACTGCATCAAATCACAACACCAAGGCGAGAAATAAACCAGTGAGGACCACAGCAAATAGGTCAACGCTTCCAGAGACAACTATGGTTTCGTTTAATGTACCTGAGGGTCACAAGTGGCCCCACAATCCCCTAAATTTGTAAAATTGGAGTAGGATTACTGAAAGAAGTGGGACTTTGGACTTGTTTTTTGGTTCCCATTTCACTTGATGTCTACAGAATGACAAACCTGCTGTGGTCCAGTATCTAGGCCGGGCAGACCAACTAGCACACAGCGACAGACACCATCAATAACACTGCTCTGTATAATCAATAGAGTGCTGGACAGCCTGGAGCGGTTAGCTAACCAGCTGAGTAGTCAACAATAAGCTAGCTGTGTGTGTGATGCACTTCTGATTTAGATGTTGTGAGTGAGTGTATGTGCTACAGTGAAGCTGCTGATAAAGACACAAGGCCAACGTTTGGTCAGCGGAACAGACGCACAACAAAGACAGACTTGTATGAGCTGTTTGTACAACTGTCACACAAACTCCACACAAGGTCAGAACAACCCGAGCGACAAAGAGAAAGGACATCTGATGCAAAAGTCAAAAACTGTGTGAAAACGCACAAAAGACACACACCCAGACAGAGACTGTAAATAAAAGTCCTGATTTGGAGTCAATTCAAAGAACAGTCAATCATCTGAAACAACTCTGATAACAGGCTGAAACATTTCCTGGTAGCAGCTTCTTAACTTAAACCGATTAAACCGATTCTCTAGACAAAGCGATGTGATGAAGACCCAGCTGAATTCTGATGAAGCTAATGTGTCACATCAGCTCTATTAGTGGGATGAGGATGGTGAGATTTAAGTCAAACACTTAGATTATTGCCATCATCATACTCAGTCTTTACCATCCACTGACACTATGACTGTGCAACTAGCCAACGATGAGAGGTTAATGTGCATAACGTCAGTCAAAAGAGAAGCATACGAAGAAATATGTCGCAACTAATGAGGCATTTATTACAGACAGCAAAGCCAGATGAGAAAACACTGCAACAGTAACTGTCTGGAAACCGCACACAGGCCTGAGGTGACGGCTCTCGCTCAGTTTTGTTTCGCTGGATCACACGTGCACAAAGCCAAAACCCAGCACCTCACTGGGACTCTGTGTGTTGGGCTGTCCTGTCATCTGTCACCATCTGTACATAACTCTAAGTCACAAAACACCTGTAGGTTCAGGTACTCTTCACTCCCATCTTCACTGCTCCACAGGCACCTTTGACCTTGACACACACACTGTAAACACATTAGGTCACTCACCTTCTGTAGGCTGGTTGGGTTGAGCTGTGTTTTATCGATGATCTTTATTGCAACCTAAGAAGAAACGAGAGCAAAAGAAATTAACAAAATAAACTACAAGAGAAAATGAATTAATTCCACACTACGGAAAGTGGAACAATATTTCCTGAGTTTTATAAAGGCAGTGTTTATTCCTGGGCTAATGCTCTGACGCTGTAAGGCTCTGATTAATCTGGTCGGGTGTATTTAATGGATGATGAAGCATCCGACACAATCTGTATTATCAACTAATCTGCCGTTTATCTTCTCGAATCATAGTTTGGTTAACAAAATGAAAATAAATGAACTCCTCATGTCTCGGTTTGCCAGTGAATCCCAAACAATCAATTCACTCAGTCTGTGTTTTTGCTCGAAAACAGACTTTAAATGATTAATTTATCAAAACAATTTATGATCAACTAACTGACTGGTCATTCCAGGCCAAAGTGTATTTATTATGATCTGCTGCAGTGTCCAGACTGCATAAGGTCTCTGTCTCCATCAGAGCTGCGGCTGCTAAGCGACGCAGCCCGTTCACTTTCCTGACCACACTAATCCTGCATTACAATGAAACATTTTTATTCAGAGCACATACAGAACACAGACGCTGAAATCCACTAAACAAACCGCCAAGGCTTTATGAGAGGCCCTACAACACGCTGTGACCTGGTCGGACGGCGTCTAACTACCAGTATATGACCGTCTCCAGCTTCATGGTGGTGGAGCTCAACAGCTCTCACATGATGGAGTCACCAGCTTACACACCACATTTCTACCACATCTGAAGGAGTTATCAGCTCAACTACTGCACAAGAGAAACACAACTGCCTGCTTTCAAGGGTTTAAGGCCTGGACTGTGCCGTGGGACTGAACTGTTCTGGCTGGTTGAAAAAGATAACAGAAGGTGTTCTGACTCCACCTCTGGCCTGAGTCACAGGCTTCAGCTCCAGCTACCAAACCCCAGTGTTTACACAGGAGTTTGCTTCGGCTCCAGCATGCATGACGCTTCTGCCGTCTCCTGTCGTCCTGCTCCTTTAAACTCACCTCTCTGCTGGTCAGGATGTGTCGTGCCAGTTTGACCTTGGCAAAGTTGCCCTTGCCGATGGTTTTGAGCAGCCGGTAGTTTCCGATGTGCGGATGCTCGTCTGAACACAAGGCGATGGAGTTGCGACATCGGGCTCCAAGCGCACGGCTTGACCAGCCAGCGCCCTTTTCTGAGCGGCTGACTGACAGCGAGGTGTGCTGAGGAGGAGAGAGAGGATAAGTCAGCGTGAATACAGGAAACATTCTGCCTGTCCTTTGTTGCTCCATACCAAACAGGGACGTTGGCCTTTCTGCTGTAAGTTTACTACTACGTTCAGTTAAACCTGCTCTATGCCCATGTTGAACCACAGCTGGTTCATAGGAGATGTATGAGAAAATCTGAGCCTGATAATATGGAAGGATCAATTACCATGATCCCAAATCTCAAAGGAGAAGACAATGTGGGATCATTAAAGTCTAAACTGTGCAAAAATTAGGGCCTGGACGTCGACTAGTTGAACCATCAGTCGGCTGAGAAACCTTTATTTTTATATTATTTATTTTTTTGTCAGTCAGTGTGCATTACAATAGAAGACGGCCCCAGCCACTTATTACTGAACAGGGTCGGGGGGGGTCCTACGGGGGGATTTAGAGTCACCAGTCAACCTGAGCTGCATGTCTTTGGACTGTGGGAGGAAGCCCACGGGTCAGCCGGGGATCAAACCCAGAACCTTCTTTCTGTGACAGAAACTGTGTGACGCTCGAGTGTCTAAATATATAGTGAGATGCTTGTCATATTGCTATGCCCACCAGACTGTGTGTCAGATGGGGTAACTGTATATCTGCACCCTTTCAGACCTGTAACGGGGTAAGACAAGGTAGTGTGTTTAATTTTTATATGAATGGTCTGTCTAAGGAGCTAAATATGTGTAAAACAGGATGTATGGATGGAGGTACAATAGTGAATGACATAATGTATACAGACGACAAATTGACTGTTTAAAGCGTATTGTACCTCCCTGTACGCTGCACATCTATGGTCTAATTACAAAAAGGCAGTCTTAGGAAACTGACAGTGGCCTATAATGAGGTTATTATTGAAAAGGCCTCGATGGATGAGGGCCAGTGAATTGTTTGTGGCATCTCAGATCAGTCCACTATCTGATGTTTTAAGAAATTTAATGTCTACATTTATTGGTGGTTTGAATAATTCTGGAAACAACATTGTTTTATTGCTGACTAATGTTACATATAGTGTTTGGAACGATCAGTCCACTATCTGATGTTTTAAGAAATTTAATGTCTACATTTATTGGTGGTTTGAATAATTCTGGAAACAACATTGTTTTATTGCTGACTAATGTTACATATAGTGTTTGGAACCACTGGTATACCTGCCTTTTAAAAAGGTCGTTGTTTATTGGTGGTTGTTTTTTTATTGTTATTTATTGCTGACTGTTTTATGGTTTTTATTGTTTGTTCTTTTAGTATTTATGCATCTGGACCTTGAGTCTGTAATCAAGTATCTATCTCTATCTACTAACCACTGCGCCACCTGAACACATTACAGCCAGTAGGAAGTACTGACAGCGTTCACGGGCACAATCACCGCCACAGTTTGTTTTGTCTGGTTAAATTCGCAGAACTTTTATTAATGTTGCTTCTATAAATTTGTGTCATTCAGGTTCACGCCGTTTGTCACATCTAGATGAGAAAACAGCACCACAAAAGGAATGAATGACAACTATTTCTACAACAGGAGAACCACATGGACACAGACCAGAAGTCTGATCCCCTTGACACAGAACCAAAACCCATGACTAACACACAGGGAGGTGCACGGGCCTCCTGGCCTTCAGTACCAAAAATACTACTAGTACAGTGCTACAACTGTCAATGCTGTGGACATTTACATGAGAAGCAGTGAGGTCTCATCAACTGATGACACTAACATCAAGAAACCAAGGAGACCCCTGATGATGCAACAGTCTCACTCTTCCTCTTCCTTCAGACCCCTCCTTACTTCCTCTATCCTCCACCCTCATGCACCTGCTCCTGCATCTTCTCCTCCCTCTCATCCACTCAGTCCTTTGCCAAGGGGACGTCTATTCAGCTGTCAGCACCTTCAGAGAGCTGGTTCCTTTTCCCAAAGGGGCTGAATCACTTCTGCTGCCCTTTATTTTGCTTCATATTTCCTTCGCCTGTTTCTCTTGCCAAAGTCAGTTTTTTCAGGCTTTCTTATACGATATCAAAGGTATATCAGGTATTAGATTTGAGATCTCGCTCAGTGTGGGGACTGACTGCCTCTTGGAGTTGTTTAAAAACTGCCTTGTGAATTACAGAGCTAAGCTCAAGTTCCACTAAATAAATTAAGGCAGTGTGGCATCGAATTGCCATTATTTGGAAGGAGAAGAGGAAGGAAAAAGCGACTACCCCATTTAATCAGCTTTCAACGTCCACTGCTTCATATGAGGTTGACCACACACACATTAGACGACCACACAGGCTCCGAGCTTGGGCCACAAACAAAGCAGTGAGATGGGAAAGCAACGGCCTGAAGGGAACGTTCTGCCACTAAAAGGCATTTCTAGCAGAACGCCCTCCTTTTCCAATGTATTTAGCTATGTTCATGTTTACCTCCTCTTCAGTCCTCCCCTGTTCATCCCCCGCCCCCTTCTCCTCTCTCCCCTGATGCGACCCATCCCCCAAACGCCTGGGTTTTCCTCCCATCGCTCTGTCCTCCTCTCCATGCCTGGACCTGCCTTCTCTTTTGTTTCACGCCACAATCTTCATTTTCAGCAATCTCACATCAATTTGAGCTTTGTGCCGCCCTCCGTCTCCTCCTCCCATCTCCCCTCCCCCATCCCATATCGTATTTTCAGGGAGAGCAGTCCATCGATTCATCCTTCTGATTACCTCACAATTTCATTCAAGAGGAGGCCTCTGAGTGTGTGTGTAGGTGTGTGACAGGGCTCCGCTGCCAGCAGAGCTATGGGGGTGAAAAGCCCCACATTATACATGTGGAATGACATTTAGAAGAATAGAAGATGGATTAAAGGCTGGTGGATGGTTAGGGGTGTGTGTGGTTGGGGGGAGGGGCTCTTAGTATGTCATTTGCACAATCAGCAAAAAGCTGCACCTTGTCCTTGAAACCAGACAGAAATGTGTTTCTCTGACGCTGCCCTGCTTCACACAGCCGTGTCTGGTTAGGTCATGCTGTTAAACGGAGGCTGAGAACGTCTAATAACAGTAAAGCTTAGCTGATACTGGACCTGCCTTCTCCGTCTCACATGCATCTTTACTTACATTTAATATTTTGAGCTGCTATATAAACACGATTCATTTTTCAGCTTGATCGTGGTAAAAATCAAGTTCCTGATCAACTTAAACAACCTCCATACCGTCATCACAGCTGCATCTGATGTACCTTCTGACTGCTGGAGGACGTGCACGTATAACATGTCTGAACAGTTCTGAAGTGTGAAAGAAAAAAGTGGTAGTTATGAAAATAAAATCCTGACTGTAATAACTGGAGGCCATGTCAGAGTGGAACATATTTATGATCGAGCTTCGTTCAGGACATTGATTAAAGTCGATAAGCAGTTTACTCTTCTACGTTATCATGTGGCTGAAGGTGACGGCAGCTTGACGTCATTTAGCCACGCTGGCTGTCAGGACACAAAACAAAACAGCAGCATTATCATCACTGCAACACCTCATACACAACACATGTGATCACAGTCTCTCTAAGTGCACGTCACCGGAGTTCACTTTCAAATTTGCACCGACAAAAACAGACTTGTCAGCCTGTCGTTGTCAGGCCTGACGTGTTGTGTAATACATTTGTACATTTCAGCCTTTTTTTGTTGCCCCTGTTCAGAAACCGAACACAGGTTTGAAAGTGCTCAAAAGGATTTTAATCTGCAGATACAGGCGCCTTTGAAAGATCAGTGGACGAGCAGCTGTTCTTCACCAGCACTAAAGTAAAAGCCTGGCTTCTAGGCATAAACACAATCTGAACAGAGACGTAAACCTGTGCACAGCACCTGATGCCAGGAACCTCTGCAGCTCTCAAATACTAAAAACATGAACTTGACACTTGTTTCTTTGTGGATCTTTCTGGTTCAATCTTGGAAGTGATCTAAAAAAAGAAATCCTCTGAGTGGTATCACACGGGGACAGAGCTACAAACCACGAGAAGTCATTTTCACACTTTACAATCCTCTGTGGTGTAAAAGAGCGCGTGTGAGCTAAAATATGTGGTGACATGCACGTTTGCGTGTCTGGCATTCCATGGCTGTTCTACAGTACAGCAGTTATCTTCCATCTGTGCCCGACTGTGTGGGCGTACAGCTGAATAACAATGCATATAATCTGGATAAATGGAGGCTCTCGGTTCTTCTGCTCTGAATTCTGCTCAACAGAACTGAACATGATCCAGGTCATAAACCTGCAAAAACAACCGTCACCACCACTTTGTTTTATTCACGATGCTGCTCTGCCATGCATGGACGTTTTCAAGCAACAAGAAGATCTGCCATGTCATTATATGAGTGTTTAAAGGTTGTTAATGTACAGACATTTGTCTATTCTGCTGTTGGCCTCATAAATACCTCTGCGTGCACGTGCCAGCTCGATGCTCTTAATGTAAAATGTGGTTTTCTTTTTCTTCCTGGATCTGTTATGTGGTTTTAAATGAAACTGGAGGCGGTGAAGGCAGGACAGCTAGTGTACGTCCAGACGTGCAGTGTGACGAGCACAAACAACAGACCACACGCTGAGGGAGCTGCTGCCGCCTGGAATGATGGGTCTGTGTGTGTGTGTGTGTGTGTGTGTTGGTGGGGAGGTGTTGAGCAAAGACAGGAAGTGTGACGTTGGTCCCCAGCAGAGGAACGGCGTAACCCCTGCTAACACACACTGACCCAGTGCCAGCCCACGCTCCTCTTCCTCTTTAGCTGCTGTAGCCTCAGAATGGTGTGTCGCACACACATCACAGCAAACACACAACAGAGAGATGAGACTGCTGAAAATAAAAAAGGATGCATTAACCTGGCAGCTTGTTTGGCTAAATTACAAAAGGCGTCATGACTTCTCCAGGTCTGTTGTAACAGGCTGCACTTTGTACCATTGTTTTAACAAAATAAAAAGAAAGTTTCAAATGTGATGGAACTGGATATATTCAGTGATACCTCGAGGGAAGGCAGAAGATGAAAGGGACC